CTCTCTCTCTCTCTCTCTCTCTCTCTCTCTCTCTCTCTCTCTCTCTTTCTCTCTCTCCCTCCCCCCGTACTGGGAATTGAACTCAGGACCTTGCCCTTGCCCTTGCCAGGCAGGCCCAGTGCCACTGAGCCAAAGGCCACCCTCCGTGCTCAGTCTCTTGCTCCCCTTCCACTATTTTCCCTCACACTGTTGCAATCAAACCACTCTCTCGGAGATGACTGCTCAGGGTTTAAATTTTTTTAGTGTCTCTGAAAGTATTTGTATGATATTCTGAGGTATTTCTGGTGTTGAAAAGACCATAACGTCATATTTGGTGGTTATATATTTCTTATATTTGACCTACAAATCTCTTAGTAATGAAAGTAGGTGTAGGGTTTATTCACAGATTTCTTTCTCACTAAGCTTTTGGAACTGTGGGTCTATGGGTTATTAAAAAGGTTAACATCAAATTTATCTTCAAGTCAGAAAGTTTAATGAAAAGAAAACATTATATCTTGGCCTTACCTTGGTAACTGTTCAACTTCTATTTGATCTTTTTGCAGTTCTTGATCAATTTCTAAATTCACACACACAAAAAAACAACCTGGAAAAAAAACCATAAATTCATCCTGTTAGGCAAGCACTCATTCTAACTGACCACTCAAAGTTTAGGCAGGAAGAAACTGGACTGCACCACTGTCTACCACAGAGGACGGAGAGCTGTGCTTTTAGACCTTCCCTGCAACAAGAGATACTCTGCATTCGGTAGAGATTCCTTTTATTTTTTCTTTTGCCTTCCAGGTAAACATTCCAGCATATTATATCAGAATCCAGTATTTTTCAAAACCTAAAGAACGTCATTGTGCTGTATCTGTGATACGGTTCACAGTTACTTCCTCCCAGAGTCTTCAGAGCAGACTCAGGGAGAGCATCACAGCTCATTTTAAGTAGGATATATTTCTTGTCTTTGGGGCTCTGGGGACCCTACTTACATGTTACCTCATTGTATCTAATTGTTTTTCCCTTCCAAAATGGAAGGAAACACAGGTGGGTCTCTTTCATATTCTCCTTCTACACTTGGGAAACCTCAGCCCAGGGGAGGATGAACTTGAGTCCTATTTTCTTAACCATCATTAAACATCCTGCTCCCTCCCTGAACTGCTTGAGGTGGTGCACCCGGAAAGATTAGCAGTGATCAAAAATCATGGTGAATGCTCAAATTAAACTAAAAAATTACAGTAACAGACATATTGCCTAAAGCAAGTGTGTTAGAAGTTAGGACAATTTTGATTATTTTGAGGAATATATTCTGAATATGGCAATGTTACATTTTCTGTATTTTTTTAATTCACTTTATTCAGTGATCACACCTCATATGCGGTTAGCTCTATGTCTGGCCCCATTGTCTGTAAGGTTCTGTGTCTATTTCAGAAGTTAGGTTGCATAAATCAGAGGGAAGAAACTCAGTGAAGAAGACGCTTCAGGGCTGCTTTCAGATTCTTATTTTTCAAACTGTAGATGAGAGGATTAGGCATGGAGATCAGTCCCGCATAAAACACAGACACAACCTCGTCCTGCTCCATTGAGTAGCTGGATATAGGTCGCAAGTACATGAACAGAATTATCCCAAATATGTATAATACGGTGTGACTCTGTTTGCTTTCTGCCTCAGTCCTCTTTCATATGTTTGATCATTTCAGTTGCAATAAGAGAGAAATTAATGAGATCGCGGGTCTCTTGCACATTTCTCTCCCTTACCCTTGGGGTTCCTGAGTCCAGTGAAGAATGAATTTGAGCCTCATTCTCTTAACTACCATTGAGTGTTCATTCTTGGGTCTCCCCTGACATGTGGAGGTTTGGTCCATTTAGAAAGAATGAATAAAAAGCCCCCAAAACAGCAGTTAGCTGTGCCACTGGCCAACACTCCATAAAGGTTTTGGACCATGTAAGAAGTTAATGTACCTGAATAAGAGTGAGAATGATTCAAGATAAAAACAAATGTGAATTCTGTGCCCAGTACATACAGAAAATCAAATACCACCTAACCCTGACATTCATTCGCTCTCTAGAGTAAGAGATATTACCCGTTTCCACAGTCTGATTTTAGGTTTATCAGATGCATGCTTGTCTCAATATAGCTTTCCTTTAGAAGACATAAGGTTTGAAACAAATTGGTCAGTGTCTGACAATCATTTACATTATTTATGCTACTTTCAAAAATACTATAATTAATTGATCTCTCTGTTGTTTGATTAGTACAATTTGCAGTTGATTCTGGAAAACACAGAGACTTGACATTCAAACTGGAAATATTTGCATATTATTTCTGAATCTTAATTTCCCATCATTTTATAGATGTCTGATGAAAATATGATAAGCTGCTAGCAACACAAAGTGTGAAACATAACTGGCAAGCAGTAAACACTAAGAGAATAAATAACTCTCATCTAGCTGTGGATTAGTTGTTAGGCAGAGACACACTATGATTGGTTATATAGATGTCCTTTTCACAGATGATATATGGATAGGAATTGAAGAAAGATCGTATAACACCAAGAAATCAGTGGTCAGATGCACAGGACATCAGAGTGGCAGAATGAGAAGGTCAGAGAATAAAGACATAGGTCAGCAGCAGCAGCAGCACCATCGTGATGGGAGGTAGCTCATCCCAGGCTGTGCAGCTAGACACTCCAAAGAGCTTCCGAAGGAGAAGTGATGTTTAATCTCAGCCAGCATGGCACCAAAGAGCCATTATTAGATGGTGAGCTACCCGCTGCCTCTAGGATGGGAACCAGTCAGAAGTTAGCATGAAATGGTGTTGCCCCAGAATATTCTGAAACTTGCCACTGGACCTGGGATTTTTCAAGGAATGGGTCCGTAGTGATGAGTCATTGACGGTTAACTTGCAACGAACCTCTCTCGAGGAACTGTGGGACTTGAAGCCTACCCAAATGGCAGTGATGCACTGAGCAACTAACAGAAGCACAGTAATGATGACTAGTAAAGGTATCATCTCAGCTATACTTATAAGAGCTACTACATTTATAAGAATTAAGAAGAATGGTGAGAATGTGTTCATCCAGTCCTCTGCCGGGTCTTAAAGAGAAGAGACTAAGGCCAAATGATAGCAGCAATTAACATTTATGGCCCACACACCACTTGTCAGGTGCCCTCCTACACACATACGTTTTCTTCTGTATACGTGCTCAGGACAAGAGCCAGGAAATGTAATTTCTCCAAATGGTTGGTAGGGACCAGAGCTGGGATTCAAACGCAGCTTTTCCTAACTCCAGAATGGGCATCGCTAGCCATTACTGGGGCCCCCGAAGTAGCATGAGTATTAGAAAAAGTCTTCCCCTGTTAAATATAAATCACACAGAAGATAAATGATGAATGACCTACTTGATACCATCTGGGGAATGTGGTGATCTTGAGGAGAACAGCTTCTGGAAGGAATTGTTAGCCAAAGGTATTAGGAGGGACAGGTAGAGCGGCATCAAGCATCAAACTTAGTGCATCTCTGTACACTGCGCCTTATTTTAAAAAAATTATTCAATACCGGGTGCCTAGAATTTAAAAGAGGTCTCAGTGGAAGCACGGTTTTTCTTCTTGGGACATTATAAAAATGGAAGACTGTAATTGTGCTGGGGGAACAAACCATAGAACCCATGAGAAAGGATATAAAACTCTTGGAAGGCACAGGACCACCTTAACAAAAAAAATCACCCCTGGTCAAATATCCCATAGGATATAGCCTATGGAAGGCTGTCTAAGCCTTACATCTCTCTCCATTTTACATGTAGGTGTACTTTAAATATAAATATGGAATATTAATAAATTTGATATAAAGCACACCAGTCATGAATTAATCAAATAGCACAAAACAGATAAAAAGGCTTAGAGCTTTAACAAGAGATCTCCTAACTCTGGAAATTTATATCTTAATCTAACATGCGGTAAGACTGAAATGCTTAAAGGGTAAACATAACAGGCTACATTTTTAACAGTTGTATTTATGATTTTGTGTGCATGTACAGTCACCTGAATTTTTTTCATTATGTAGTGTTGCCTGCTAAATTAATTAAAATGAGCATTATGTTTATTGGCAAATGGGAAAAAAGGAAACTCTTCCATCTTCTGGGTTATGAAATACAAAAGGTATTCTTGCCAAAGAAAGCAACCAAAGTTTCTTGGAAAGGAAATATCAGTTAATTCTTTCCACTGAGAGTGATCAAAGACCCATGAAACAGTCCAGAGAAGCAGGTCATATAGGACTTGGAATGAGGGTTTTCAAATTTATGCTTGTTATTTTCTTCATAGATAAATATAAGTTTAAATAATGAAATTTTACAAGAATTTGTTTGTGGCAGCTCTTCGATTCCTCTTGATATGATTTTTAATACACCTGTACTGGTTCTTCATTGATATTCTACAAAGAACTCCACAGTTGTGTGTACAATCTGATGAGTTCACACATGTGACAACAACACCACTTCTACCACTGACAAACAGGGGGCATATGCAGTACATCCCAGAGTTTCCTGTGTCCCTTGGCTTTGTTTCTAATTATAAAGAACATTTATCTCTTGTTTTCTTTACCCCTTATAACAATACATTACTGTCATTCTATGGGGCATTGACTGTATGATCTCTTGAATTTATAGGCATCAGCAGAAAAACCTTTCCCAGTTACCCCTGAAATCACCCCAGGTGGGTACGTGTAAGCTGGACAAAAGAGCCTGGGCAATTTTAAGAGGGGTTCAGTCATCACTAGAGAGCCTTAAAAATGTTTTGTGTTTCCTTCGTTTTCATTAAGGTTGAGAGAAGAGAGCACAGTTCCTTAGGGGACAACAGCTCCTCAGTTCCTGGTGCCTCCACGAGGGTAAAGAATCATTTCATCGCACTTCTCCTGGGAAGTGATTAGTAACTCTTCTGGGACTTAACTGCCTCCTGTACACAGGTACAAAGGCAGGAAGCGCAAGGAATTTTGAAAGGACAGCCAGGAGGATCCCCCATCTTCAGATGTTTTGCAGAATTTTTGGCGTCAGTGTGAAGCATCGGAGAAGAGGGGACCTTCACTTCTTGCCAACAGGTGGGAAAGAGGTCAGATCTCACTGGAGACACAGCAGAGAGGTGGTCATCTGGAGTGGATTTCTCAGTCCAGTGCTTCATTGAGTAGAGGTTCTGCCATTCCACATTTGTAAAGAGGCATAGCTTGTGGGTTTGCTTCAGGTCTTTCACCATAAATCTGAATTTGGAAGATGCTAGGATTAGAGAGTTCACTAAGATCTGTTTTCTCCACACCTCCAATGCACAGAAAGACACTGCACCAAATGCAGCAATTGACTGGCCGGGCTTGGTGTCTCACGCCTGTAATGCCAGCACTCAGGAGGCTGAGGCAGGAGGATCGCTATGAGTTTGAGACCAGCCTGGGCTTCATAGTGAGTTCCAGGTCAGTCTCAACTACATAGTGAGACCCTGTCTCAAAAAAACAAACAAAAAAAATGCAGTAACTGATAGGAGGCTGAGGCAGGAGGATCGCTATGAGTTTGAGACCAGCCTGGGCTTCATAGTGAGTTCCAGGTCAGTCTCAACTACATAGTGAGACCCTGTCTCAAAAAAACAAACAAAAAAAAAATGCAGTAACTGACCAAGATCAAACAATTAATTATTAAAACAGTAACACAAGCAGGATCTCCAAACTCTGGCCTTAGTACTGTTCTCATTACACTTGCAAGCTCAGGCCACACACAAAAATCTGCAATGCATTTTTATAATTGTATCTCAATCAAATAATGCCTTGCTAGTCTTTTATTAAATACTTAAATTTGCTATTAACAATAGAATGTATTCATGCTCACAATATTCTGTCCTGTCTTCAGGTGTCAGCCAGGGTGAACATTAGCTATGCAAAGCTAAAATGTACTAAGATACGTTTCTTTTTTTGGCTTGGTCAAGCCCTGATTTAGGATTGCATAGCATGGCCTCTGTGTGTATTTTCATAAAGTGGATGTAGTATGGAATTTAAATCCTTTCTCCCAGAAGGTTAAGAGGTCTTGATGCATCAGTGCTGGGAGATAAGAACTCAGTATTCTTGAAGTTCTGAGTATACACTTATTTCTGGAAATTAAGCACCAATACTTGCACACCTTGGCAAGTGTGTTCAGCTCTTACAGTTGTAACTTTTTACAACAGTCACTGAAATCAGCACACTATATACAATCTAGCCCTTTTCTGAAGAAAGTTATTAAGGCATATATGATTAATTAACAAATGGAAACCCATCACTTTGTAAAGATATTCATAGGGTTCAATAATAAATCCTGGATCCGTGTGCCCATTGCAAAAGATTGCTTAATGATGGGTGAAGCACTTTCACACATGCTGCCTCACTTAACCAAAGCCTTGAATCTATAAAGAAGGAGAGAATGCTTTTCTAATCATATTTCTCAGCTGAAGGAAATGAACTCTGCCAGATTCTGCTCTGGGTCAGAGTCCTGACCCTTCGTTCTGTGTCCCCTGTTGTCTCTCAGCCCTCCAACACCATACTCAGATACGACACCCATATTCTGAGAACGAGGTCAGTGCCTTTTCCTTGCTTTATAAGATTTTGAATTTTCAAAAGTAAGATAATTTTCTCTCTGCAAAGTGGGACAGAAGGCTAACAAGTGGTAAAGATTTGTTGTTCCTGCTCCTGACAGCTTATCTTCATTGACTATGTAAAACGTCCAAGGGGAAATGAATACTGCTCTCTGTGGGACCTGGCAGTCCCAGATTCGATTCTGGTTCTACAACATTCACAGAGTGACGTTGCAAGTCCCCTGATATCACAATGAATGTCACTTATGAAAGGATGGATGCATTTATCTGTAGTAATCATGAGTCGATAAGAAGTTGCCAAGTGCTCTACATCTTGTGTTGGTTTTAGACGGCTGTATTGAAGAATAGCTGTATTTAAACTATAAAGTTTGATGTTTCAATGTATGCACAAAATTATCATGACAATCAATATTCAAGCATTATTTGTGCACCTATGTGGTACTCATATGCCTAATTCAGCACATATCTATATCTCAGCCATTTCTTGATTTCATCTTTGTTTTTATGATTGAGTTTTTAAATTTCTTCATGTATTATGGATACAAGCTCCTTATCAGAAATAAGTTCTTCAAATAACTTTACCCCAGTTATTCTTTTCATTCTGTTTCCCAATTGACCCAATATACAAAATGATCTACACATTCACAGCATTCATTCAGGAATGAACTGGGCAGTAGTAGATGTAAATATTGTATAAACTCTCGGGACCATATTTGTTATTATTGGGATGCCCTTCTTTTTTGTTATTAATTCTATTCTATGGAAAAATTGAAAGCAAAATGCATAGCTTTCATTATTTTTTAATTTTAGGATTTAGGAAAACCTTTTATGAATAGCCACAACCCAAAAAAGACAAATTATACTACTCAACAAAAGCAGAGCTTCTTTGCTAAGCAATAAATCAATTAGGTCAGATACAGTCTTTCTGACTTCAGGTTTAATTAGAGGATGCTGTTTATTTCTCAGTTTCCTAGAGTTTTGTCTGGTTTTCTTTTGGATTGGTTTGTTTTTACCTAATTAACTCAGTTGTGCAATTCAGTAGATATTCATCAATGAGAAAAGCCATGAAGTTGTACAATGCTTTCTCTTTTCTCTCCTAGTGGATCCTCTGCACTGGGCTATGCATTAACCCAGAATTATCCAGAAACATGGCTGTTTCTACACCCTGAACATACCCCATTCCACACTGCTGAATCTTCAAAGATCAGAGAAATTAAAGGATTCATTTTGGCTCAGGCAAAACAGACAGGACAGGAAAAAGAAAACTGCACTGAATTTGATTTTCTTTTCACCAAGTCACATATATACAGAAGGTAATAAAGTGAAATGGGCCTGGGAGTCAGACCCAGATCTGCTACTCTCTGGCTGCTGACTTTATGAAAGTTGCTAATGTCTATTGTTCTTTTCAGGTCTAAACTAGAGTTTCTGATGCATACTGCCTTTTTAGAGTTGTGATAATGAATTTATGTAATGCATTTAAATTACTTCATAAACTATAAAATAAAATAAATACTGAATGATCCTAGGTCTTTTAAAAATACTTTTTTGATTGCTTATTCTTATACTTCTGACCCTCTGCAATGAAGATTTCACATTCTCTATTTGTGCATATGATACATGGCACTTTGTGATCTTTTAGTCTCTCATTTTCTACTCCATCCTGACCTATAGTAAGAATTAAAGTTTAGGCATCATCTACATGTATATTTGCTTTGTGTTAGACAGAGGAATACTCAAAACCACTCTTCTTTACTAATGAACAAGTCAGATAACTGCCTAAACCGGGTCAAACAAACATCTGATATCATGTGATGAATGACAGCTGAGCTCCAAGGTCTTTGGAGAAACAGAAAGTTCCATTCCCAAGAAGACAGCATCATCTTCTATTGTGTGTGGGCACTGGGAGAGGCCACACTGCCTTCACGGTCAACAAATCATCACTGAATGTAATTAGTGGAAAGATCTTTGAGGATCCCCTAAACAAAATCTTCACTTACTTCTGCATACAAAATCTCAGCTGTATGATTGTTTAGTTCTACTCTGAATATTTCCAGTGACAGAGATTTACTGCCCTCATCAATAATCCAGATCTAGGCCCATGTACAATCGGAGTCATGGATAAAGAAAACCAGTCCACAGTGACTGAGTTTGTCTTCCTGGGGATCACTCAAGACCCTCAGCTGCAGACCATCTTCTTCCTGGTCTTCCTCATTGTGTACCTGGTCAACGTCGTGGGGAACGTGGGTATGATCATCCTGATCCTAACGGACACTCACCTGCACACACCCATGTACTTTTTTCTCTGCAACCTCTCCTTCGTCGACCTGGGCTATTCCTCAGCCATTGCGCCCCGGATGCTGGCCGACTTCCTAACAAAGCGCAAAGTCATCTCCTTCTCCAGCTGTGCCACACAGTTTGCTTTCTTCGTAGGTTTTGTGGATGCGGAGTGCTACGTCCTGGCTGCGATGGCCTACGACCGGTTCGTGGCCATCTGCAGACCCCTGCACTACGGCACTCTCATGTCCAAGCGAGTCTGCGTGGCTCTCGCGCTGGGCTCTTACCTGGCTGGTGTAGTGAGTCTAGTGGCCCACACCTCCCTCACTTTCAGCCTCAATTATTGTGGTTCCAATATCATCAACCATTTCTTCTGTGAAATCCCGCCGCTCCTGGCCCTCTCTTGCTCGGATACCTACATCAGCGAGATGCTGCTGTTCAGCCTGTGTGGCTTCATCGAGTTCAGCACCATCCTCATCATCTTCATCTCCTATGCCTTCATCCTCATCGCGATCATCAGAATGACTTCCACGGAGGGCCGGCTCAAGGCTTTCTCCACCTGCGCAGCTCACCTCACTGGCGTCACTCTCTTCTATGGCACCGTCATGTTTATGTACCTGCGGCCCACATCCAGCTACTCCCTGGACCAAGACAAGTGGGCCTCAGTGTTCTACACGATTATCATTCCCATGTTGAACCCCTTGATCTACAGTCTGCGGAACAAAGATGTAAACGCAGCTTTCAAATCACTCATTGGGAGAAAACCTCAATAGTAACAACAAAATCTGCTTTGCCAGAGGTAACTAATAGGGTTAGAAGGAGGAAGGCAGAAGGCAGACCAGGTGAATCCTTATGGTAAACACTAGTCGAGTCATCATACTCTTGCTGAGAAAATCTTAAATTCTAAAGGCGTTTCTGTACCTCTGTGTAATGTGAAAAAAAAAACGCCAGTTAAATTAAAAGTTAAGAAAAAAAAATACACAGCAAGATGATATTTAAATTTGATGGTTGATTTGGAATCAAGTTCTAGACTCTCACTTAAAAGGCTTGAATAAGTGACCTCATTGCTGAAAGATAATTTTTTTCTCAATTTATTGTTCTACTAAATCAATGAATAAAGTAGCTTAAATTTCACCAAATTCTTACAGCAACAAGAGGGATGGGCATTAACCCATTTTTTAAAAAATGACAAGTCAATAGACTTGTAAAGAATTAATAATTTACAAAATATAATCCAAGGTCTTCATTCTCTGTGCATTGCTGGCAAACGTTCAGGTTTTGGACCATTTACACAAGAGTTCTGATGTCATCTCTGCTATTCTTAGCTATGTAACTGTGGACAGTTTACATAATCTCTCCAAGTGCATTTCTTCATTTACTAAATGAGAATGATAATGCTTAGGGTTTAGGATTTTCCAAAAGGTGTATTATGATCCCCATAAGCTATATGTCAGCTAATAGGTGATTAATAAACATTAATAACATCTATTTTCCCCTTTATTTATAGACTAACAATCCGTCATTATGCCATCAATGTGCTACAATAAAGCAAGGATACCAAATGTTTTACTTTCCAACAAGCTGATAGTAGATTATTTTATAAACTTGCAAAACATATAAAAGAAAAATGGATATCAGTTTAACGAATCACCATCCCCACCAGTAAGTGTCTGAAATGAACCCTTCCTCATCTCTGTATTTCACGTTCTTCATCAGTAACATAAAGGCTATTGTTTATGCCTTAATCTATATTATTGGTTCCCAAGAGTAAGGGCTAAATAAACTCTTATGCTTGAAAAATCATGGTTTCTCTTTCACGCATCAACACCGTATTGTAATCATAGTAACAATGGTAAACATGTCGATCGTGTTCTCCACATGAACCGCTGGTTTTCATATCAACACAGAGTTGCTACTGTCGTACTCAGGGCTGTGAAGGAGAAACATGGCAGGCTGTGGTCCAGATTGGAGGCGTCCTAGTGAGATGAAGCTGGGATTCACTTCTGCCTCCTCTCTTTTTTGGCCTATGTGACCTCGGGGGAGAAGTTTTCTAGTAAGCTGTGCTTGAGACTTGATGGATAATGAGATCTATACCTGATCTTCTGGAGCTTACACTTTTAAGGAGACCAGATAAATCCAAAGAGCCTGGAACACAGGAAGAGCCAATAAATGTTAAAAGAGACCCACAGGCAAAGTGCTATATTAGCTCAGGCACCGTTCTGGGAGATGAAAGGCTCACGCATTGGTCTCTGAAGCACGGACCAAAGCTGAAGAGAGAAGCAGTGAGTCTAGGAGCCTGGAGCAGAGGGGGAAACACAGTGAACAAAGGCAAAGTGTTCATATGCGATGCAACACGTCCAGCGAGCCTGTGGAAGGGGAGTCTACTGGCAGGCTTTGTAGGCGAAGCTGGGTGGTAGCTCAAAGATCTGATTCCAATTTCGGCACCTGAAAATTATCCCTAGGGGAACAGGAAGTCTGTCTTCTGTAGATTTAGAGAACACTCCTCCTCAGGAGGAGGAAATGTGAAATCTGTCACATATCTGTCCGCAGAGCGGCCTGTAGGGAAACTAGTACAGGAGCACAGCCAACAAGCTGGGAATCCTAGTGGACACTGGCTTTGTGAATCAGGTTTACAGGCACAGCTACCCTTATGGGTCTTTTCTTACTGGGGCTTGAATGCAACTCTGATGTTCACCTCCAGGTCAGGTCTTCTCCCAAGGGAAGACGTCTTAGGAAGGATTCCCAGAAATACCAGGGTCTACAGCTCCTCATGTGGCCCATTGTTACCCTTGCTCCCTAGCTCAGGAACTGTAAAATCGCCAGGATCCTTCGTTTGTTATTCCTGGTTCTCCTCCAAAACAGCCTCTCTGGTATTATTTCTCCCTGGTCCATGTCATGTTCCAGAGTCTGCTCTGAAAGTATACTTTTTGACTTTCCCTTTTCCTGCCTCTCTATCCAGGCCGATGCTACTTAAGATACACACAGCTTTTCTGAGTCATAATAGCAAACACATAATGGACACTCAGGGAACATGCGGAAAGAACAGCATGACAAGCACGTGCTGCTTGTACTGCTTCACACGGGCACGTGAGGAGTACAGAAGGAACCCGGGGCCTCTTTCTGTTAACTCTGGTAAACCCAGTGTTTCAGAGCCAATGAGTCCTCATCAGACCCGGCTTTGGGAGCCTGAACCTGAGCCCACATTGAAACAGCACGACGACTGATGTCCACCGATGACCTCCGGAATTCCTCACGTTCAGCTGTGATCCCCGCCATTCTCTTGTGCACCTGCCTTTGAGAAGGTCAAGGCTCTTTGAACCCAATACACCATGACAGTTTTCCATTTGTATTAATTTCTTATGCAATAATTATACAATAATATATAATATATACTAATATGCGATGGTGTTATATCATCTATTACATATTATATATTAATTATATTATAATAATTATACATGCCAGTCATTGCTTTCTCTATGAATCATTCTGGGATTTACCCTCCAGGATTCCAGAACCTGTACATTAGCACAAGCGGGACTACTATGAGGGCTAAGCAAGATCATAGTGCTGTGGCCAAGTGTACCTACTGCTGAAGTCAGTTTGGGTGTTTTCCAGTTGCCCCAGACTAAGTATTGATAGTGTCCCCTTCTCTCTCAAAAATGCTCTCGTTCACATATTAAAAGATGTGAGAAACTAAAGTATAGTGCTTTTAATTACATCTGAGTTTAACAAATGGCGGCTTGCTGATGTAACATATTATGCATACAATTCCACTAACTCTAAAACATATGCACCTTAATACGATTGTTCCCTGATGACAGTTTGAGACTTTGAGAAAAGCTCGATTTTATTCTCACATCTTGGGGTATACTCGGTAAGCAACAAAGGCTATTTGAACCAATAAATGATAGAACCCTGCCGAAACCTAGACCCATTTCTAGATCTCAGGAAAACTACTGGAGGTATCTATCTATCTATCTATCTATCTATCTCCAGGAAATGGGATATGTGTGTGCGTGTGTGTGTGTGTGTGTGTGTGTGTGTGTATCTACACGTCTATATCTATATCTATCTATCTATCCACAACATGGGAGCTAGGGAAATTTACATGGGCCCCAGTGTGCTCTCAATGTACAGGTAGTAGAGCCACAGATAGAAAAACAATTTTGATTCCTACCCATAGTCTATAGAAGAAAGAAATATTTGCCACTGCAGCAACTGAGTCACAGTCAGAACTGGGCAAGTTGGGGCACCGCTACAAAAGACTGGATTCATGGCTAGCTTCAGCTGGGCAGTGGGCTTAGACTCAGTCATTGTGTGTGTAGGATTGTACTGAAAATTCTGATCCAAACATCCACCTTCGCCTGTGACCATAGTGAATAGGATCCTTGCTGGAGAAGTCCAAAAAGCTTGAATACACAAAGAAACCAAACAAAATATGCATCTAAGGACCAATTCCAAGTTCAGATCATGCTGAAAAGGTGAAATCAGTCTTAAAAAATCAGTTTCAGTGTAAAACTGATTCCCCTATTCTATTCTGTAATCCTCCTAATTTCTAAATGGGAAAATAAATAGTTGTTTTGTGTTAAGGGGAAAGACACCAACTGGTAATAATAGTAACAGGACATAAGAAGATAGAATTTATTATACCTTTCACACCAGGGGAACAACATTAAAAGCTTTCAACATTGCATTAGTGTTCTTTACACCAGGTAAATAAACACAGTGAAAATAGTCATTTGAGGATAAAATTTTTTTTTAATTTTATTGAGTTTATTGGTACAATTTAGGGATACAGGATAGTTACATTCATTGTTGGGATCATGTACCTTTACATGGCAAGTCTTGATTCTCATTTTTTCCCCTTACCTCTGCCCTCCCTTCACCCCCTCCTCCCCTCCCCATCTACAAACACTTTATTTTCATCTTTTCATTCTCTCACATTTTTTCTTTTCGCTTTTTGTTCTTCCCCTAAGTATCACACCTTCCCTACACCTTTAGCTCCTTTCTTCAAATTTCTAAATGTCAGTAATTTATTAGAATCTTATGCATTGTTGCAGAATATTCACACCAGGGAAACTATTTGGTATTTACACATGTGTGACTTATTTATTTCACTTAGGAGTATATCTTCAATATGTATCTATTTTCCTATGAATGAATCTATTCTCTCGCTCTTTATGGCTGAGTAATATTCCATTTTATAGAAAAACCACCACTTCTTTATTGAGGATAAAATTTGACATGGTTAGAGTAAGTTTATTTTCAGAGCTGAAGGAAATACTGAGATGACTGATAGACACACATAGAGGGGGCCGAACAAATGTTTTATTTTCAAATTAAAAAACTGACACTCATAAAAGTAAATGATCTTCCATGTATACATAGCCAGTTTAGAACATTAAGATCCTATTTTTCTCTTAAATACAGGCACTTACAATAGACAATAATACTGATCAACCAGGCCCCGAGAAAGCTTAGTTCATGACAATGACCCACCTGACAATTTGTGAAAGAGGGAAGTCATGTGATCAGATATAAAACAATGTGCGGGACGCACACCCACCCGGGTTTCTACCTGATGAGGGATGCAGCACAGAACGGCCCACTTAATGATATCAAACTACCGCATTTTCAATTTATGTCAAAGGAAACAAGCATAAGACTGAAATTTTGCATGAGGATTCCCGGATGACACTTAGTTTAGGGCCAGCGGTGTCTGCATCACATTATTTATTTTAGTCCACATGATTCCAGGTTATGGATAACTACCAGCTAGTCAAAAAACCGTGGATTGGCCAGGTAGTTGGCTCCAATAATGAACTGTTAAACAGAAAATATTCACTGCCACTTGTTTCTAAAGTTTTGAATAAATGTGGCCTTATGAGTATGATTTTGCAAGTTTTATAAATTCTGAATTTATCTATTTTTAGAATCCAGAGGTAATTTTTGTAAATAATAACTTTAAAATTGTATACATCTATGAACTTTTTATTTCTCTTTGCAAATATAGTGCTGTTTCTAAAATATATACAGCTATTTTATCTGATGATGTGAGGGAGGATTTCAAATGTTATCTTTTCTTTTAAATAAGTTGTTCAGAAACAACTAGAAGTACGTATTTCTAAGAGAAATGCAGGTATTAAGGAGAACTTTAAAATGATTAGTCATTTGTGGAACAATGCAAGTAAAATATATAAAAAACTGCTGTGTAAAGAAACTATGTAATCACACGTGGAGAAACACAGCCATCAGGTAATATGGGGAAAAGAGTTCTGGTCAGACCGAAGTGTGTCAGTGTTTAATGGACCCGTGGAGCTTGTATGTATGGAGATTAACGTCAAATCTGAAGCTCAACTCGGATGCATGCAGAGTCCGGATCCCTTGTAAACTACACAGATCACGCAAGTACGGGGTGCTGCCCCTAGAAACACTTCCTCTGAAGCTCTGCACATACATTGGAAACAATTTTCTCTGTAGCAAAGAGACTCCGATACACCGGACGGAGACATGTTACAGAGTCAAGGATTTTACAGAAGTGAACCTTCCAGTGACTTACAGAACAGCACGCTCTCAGCGTATGCAGTGGTTGGACGTATTAAGGCTCTCATATTAAGGAAGAATGGATGAAAACATTTCCTCCTGTTGAGGTTTTAGATGGCTGCCTTGTGTCTTCACATGGGGCCAATCTATGTTCCTCTTCCTCTTCCTTCTCAGAGGTAACTAACTGTGCTAGGAGGAGCACCTCTCACTTTCTCTGTTTTGCAAGCGCTCTCTTCAGAGCTCCTTTCACATCCTGGTTCCTCAGGCTGTAGATCAAGGGGTTGAGCATGGGTGTGGCCACAGTGTAGAACACCGCGATGACCTTGCCCCCAGCCCGGGAGGACTTGGACTGGGGTCTCATGTACATGCAGGGCTGTGCCGTGGGTGTGGCCACAGTGTAGAACACCGCGATGACCTTGCCCCCAGCCCGGGAGGACTTGGACTGGGGTCTCATGTACATGAAGATGGCTGTGCCGTAGAACAAGGCCACCACTGTCAGGTGGGAGGCGCAGGTGGACAGTGCCTTGTGCCTTCCCGAGGCTGACCGCATCCTCTGGACAGACAGGAGAATCCGGACATAAGAAACAACAATGAGGAGGAAGGGGATGAAGACGAGGAGGATACTGAAGATGAAAACAACCAGTTCTGCAAGGGACGTGTCCGTGCAAGCCAGCCTCAGGACTGAGGGCACCTCGCAGAAAAAGTGATTCAGGACATTGGGCCCACAATAGGGCAAAGCTAAGGTGAGGACACAGATGGACATGGCACTTAGGAAGCTGCTGCACCAGGACACGGCTGCCAGCTTGACACAGGTGTTCCGGTCCATAGTGACAGTATAGTGAAGGGGGTGGCAGATGGCTACGTATCTGTCATAAGCCATGACACCCAGAAGGACATATTCAATCATCCCGAAGGAGAGAGACCATTTTACATATAAAGCATGGGGTCCTGTCAACATATGACCCCATGCTTTATATGCAAAATGGGGCTCAAAGTTAGAAAACGGTGTTCACCACAAAGTCATATTCGCTGCCTTTGCTTCGTGCATACACAAAACAGAAGAAGGAAAAGGGTCTTGGCATCTTGGTTTTATAAGCAATTCTCTCGCTCCATAAAGATGACTGAAGTAAGTCTTTTGAAAGCGGGTCACTGTTTTGGAGATCTTTCTCCGCACTTTTCTATTTCTCAATTACAGAGTAACCTGACGGGAGCGTGGAGAGTCAAGAATGGCTTGGGAGCCGCATGCTGCCCTTGTCAATCAGAACACTCGGAGGTCTGGCCGTGTATGCTATCAAGCTGACAAGCCTGTCCTTCTAAATTTATTCTTTGGAATAAAAGGCAAAGGGCCCTGAATCTTTAATGCACAATAACAAAAGAACAACTGATTCTCCTGGTCCCCAAAATCTGCTTCTGAACCTGCTTCTCTGTGGTACGGAACTAACATCCTCTACTTGTGTCCACCTTAGTCAGTCACCCTTGGAAGGTCCTGTCTCCAAACAGTGGAGCTAAAGGTGATGTGCTCAGGTTAAATCTGGGCATGAAAAGGAGGACGGATAAGACTTTCCTAAAAGATGAAATAAGGAATTGTTGCCTGGAAAGACCAAGAGGGAGAAGGGGGGAGGGAGATGGAGAAGGGTGTGAGAAATATGGATCACAGAGTTCAGTTCTGCAATTCAAATTAGAAAAATTAATATCCTCAGATTCACTTAATCACTGTATTCTCAGATCCACTGGACCAATTTTGTGGGGAGGAGAAGCTACAAGGGATTGCATTCAGGACCTTGCTTGGGCAAAGTGGGCTCGAGGCCACTGAGCTAAATCCCCATCCCCACTGGACCAACGTTTAATTCACTGTTCCTCATTGCATCATATCCTAACTCACACATTAACTTCTAATTCCGGGAGGAGTCTAGGGGAGTCTTTGGAGACTGCCGGTGCATGCTCCTGTGCTGCTGATGGGAGAGGTCCGGATGTGTCCTTGTAAAACTGCATATATAGGGCCCACAAAGTGAACCTGTCACCAGAACATAGGAACAGTGTTGCTTCCAAGAACTGGGCTTTCTTAAGGTAAGCACTGGCTCCAGGCTCAGCAGTCTGAGGGAGAGAGGGTCTGGTGTGGCTCTGCATGCATCATCGCTATTGCAAATGCACACACGGGCGAGCACACACACACAGACTGCACCTGTGCACACACAAGCACACACACCTGAAGTAGATCTCAGACTTCATCCTATGCTACATCTGCAATTTACAGTTCACTCTCACAGTTGTGCTACACCATGGATGTCTGCCGACTATGTAGAGATCAACAGGTCAAGACCTGTGGTTTGACTTGACTCTAATGATGCTGCCCCGTGCTTCTCGCACCTCTAGGGAATGTTTCCCATTCTTGCTTGTCATTTTCGCCTGCCATTGGCCCCGTCATTTCCAGAGAAATTCGAGTGCTGCTGTGAAGAGAGCAGGAAGGGCTGAGGGATCAGCGGCTTCTCCCTACGCCCTCTTACCCTCCAAGAGGCTTCAGTGTGGTGAGCTTTAGCGTTTTTAGTGCTGATTGTTTCATACTCCCAAAGGAATAAAAAAGCACCCAGTACCTGTACCAACTCCCCATGATAAACGTAATCAATATGCACTATAAGTTTGTACTCACAAAACGCCATGTGGATTGAGGACTGGAAAGTGAACCTGTTTTCTTTCTCACTAGTGTTGCACTGCAGTCGGCGGAGGGGGGTGTTTCCCGGTAGATTTTTCAGTGAATAGTGTGATCTAGGGTAGTCATAGACAATTCTTTGGATGAGCCACTTCAAAAATGAGGAAATTCCCTATCCATTCATTCCAGAAATACTCATGAAGGAAGGCTCACTTAGTTGCTAGGAACTGTTCTGCATGCTGGGCTACAGCAGAAAACAAAATAGAGGATTCATTCTGCCTTGGGAGGCGGTGTCATGGTGAGGATGGATAGACTTTTCACGAAACAAGATTTCAGAAACGATCTAGATGTGAGGGAAACAGCAGTATGGACAGAAATAGAGAACTGGCATGCTAGGGGGAAGTGAACATTGCTTACAGAAATGTTACTAGAATGGTCTTTCATAAAACTGACATTTGAAAAAAGTTGTAGAGGAGAGGGGACAACAGGAAAACTTTTGGAGGATAATATGTGAAGAGAAGGAAGATTCACTGAATTGAGTGTGGAGCAGAGGTCCCGTGTGCACGGAGGTGTAATAAAGTCAGTGGAGTGCAAAACACCTCAAGGGGTCTGTGTGTGAGGACATGAGAACCCAGGCTAGGGCACGAGAGCCTTCCTGTCCACTGTGTACAATTGGAATTTTATTAAAATAAATCGGAAGTTTTGCAAGGCTGGGTTTTAAATATGAGAAGGATCCCCCCGCCCCATCCCTGATAGTGAAAGAGTTTCGCTCAATGCTGCACAGAAATGGAGTCTTTGTGCAATGAGGATCTGGAGCAGTGAGGTGTCTACTGCAACAGTCTTGGCAAATGAAGCCAGTGGTGTAGACAGACTGGGAGCAGGCAGGAGGGGAGGAGTGGTTAGACTCAGGACAAGCTTGGAGGGTAGGAGCGATGGGATTTCCTGGATGATTGCAGAGCAGCCAGGACAGGAAGGGCATAGGGCGAGACTCAGTCTTTGGCCTGAGAAAAGGAATTGGTGTAATTTCAATGATCGATGTAGCAGATGAACAGATACATCATTTTTGTCCTTTGGCACTGAAGACTGGGAATTCGGCTTGAGGCACTGTGAGTTAATTTGGCCTTCCTGTAGAACGTTAGCACTGGGCAGCATTTTAGGCATCTTTCAGCATTAGAAGTTTAAAGCTAAGAATCACATCCAAGAAACCCATGAATAGATTTTGTGACTTTGCAAATGCTCTAAAATTTTGTGTGTATCTATACATTTACGTATGTGTGAAGAATTGCATTGTTTTTTTAACATGTCCTCAAAGAAGCAGGATTCTCAAAATTTAGTAGCTAGTACTTACTTGTGCTCCAGAAAGTATAGACTACAAGTGTTTAGAGCATTTGCTCCAGCTTGCAGAATTTTTTTGAAACAAGAATGAGAATGCAAATCTTTAGATCAACAGACAAATGTAGTCATCTGAGCTATTTTTCATCTTTGATTTCAACCAAAATGATAAGAAATGCCCATGTAAGCAATGATCCATGGGTCTATAGGGGTTTTTAATCTGCTGTGTCAGACTGTTAATGCTGACAAATTAAAATTGTAGAAGCTCAGTATTTGCAAAAGGAACAAAAATTTTGTATATGTGTGATTTATGTTCTTGAGAGGAGACCACTCTCCTAAAATCACACAGATAATGAACATCAGAGCTGTATCCTGATTTTAACTCCTCAGTCCAAGGCCAATGAGCTGCACTTCTAGTCCTGTCCCTCCTTTGTCATCTTCAAGAAGGTGTGGTATAGTAGCAGATGGTTTTGTTTCACCCATTGTCCATTGTTTGTGGTTTTGGTGTCACTTTGACAAACACCTCCAAGTTTAGTATAGGAAGTTTTAATCGTGTGTTACCCCTTGAGACTTGCAGATTGACACTATACATATACATGTAGACAGAAACAGGGATAGTAATACACATAAATAGATCTTTCGTTAATTTTTCTGGGTAATTTCAATTAGGGTCAAATTCCATTCATTTGCAGGAAAACATCCAGTGCTCACAACACCATACATAGAAAACACTTTTCCCATGTGTAACTGGGTGACATGTTGCACGGTCACAAGTAAAATTAGTTGTCTGGGTTGATTTCTGAGCTGTCAGTTTTGTTCCCTATGTCTGTATGTGCAGCATGTTGGTGTTCATGCAAGAGTCAGGGCAATGGTTGGCACACAAGTTTTCATTCAATTATAGAAGGAGGCTGAGATTTTAAGAGAACAGACAACACATTAAGGATTAAGCCGAGTATTTCATGCCTGTCACTTCTACTCCTCCATTTTGACCTGTTGGGAATTGATTAGTGCTCTTTGTGATCTTCCCTTTTCTCACCTGTTGAAATGGGCTGCACCTGAATTAGACTGTGACTACATGAAAGTGCTAGTTTTAAAGTCAAATTCTGATTCCAGCTTTAATCCTCTTCCATAGTTACAGATTGAAGTCATATAGTTCTAGACAGTAAGGAGTAAGAGTCCATACATCTGCTCCTAATTGACAAGTTGACGACACACTGTTGACTTCTCCTAAGAGAAAGCATCACTGAGTTCTTTTTTCTTCTCCTCACGACAAACAGTATTCCCCTCTGTGGACATGGAACTGGGAAATCGCACGGTTCTGACTGAATTCATCTTGTTGGGCATCTCAGCAGAGCCCCGCTGGCAGCTAATCATATTTCCAACATTTCTCATGCTCTATTTGGCAACCCTAATGGGGAACTTGACCCTGGTTGTCCTGATCCGGATCGACTCCAGGCTGCACACACCTATGTACTTCTTCATTGGTGGGCTGTCTTTTTTGGACTTCTGGTATACCTCCGTGTACACCCCCAAAATCCTAGCCATTTGTGTTTCACAAGATAAACGGATTTCCTTGGCAGGATGTGGGGCTCAGTTTTTCTTCTCCTGTGTTGCTGCTTATACTGAGTGCTACCTGTTAGCAGCCATGGCCTATGACCGCTATGTGGCAGTTTGTAGCCCACTGCTGTATTCAGGTATCATGTCCACCTCTCTCTGCACTGGGCTTGTCGCTGGCTGCTACACAGGAGGGTTTCTGAATGCCATGGCCCACACCGTCAATACTTTCCGGCTGAGTTTTTGTGGTAAAAATATCATTGACCACTTTTTCTGTGATGTGTTGCCATTGGTCAAAATGTCCTGTACGGATACCCGCGTCTATGTGAAAATCCTTTCCAGTCTGGTGGGCTTCACTGTCCTCTCCTGTCTTCTCATCACCCTCGTTTCCTATTTCAACATCCTCCTGGCTATCCTGAGGATCC